GGGATGGGGATTGGGATGGGGAATGGGATGGGGATGGGGTGGGGAATGGGATTGGGATGGAGATTTGGGTAGGATGGATGGATGGGATGGGGATGGGGATGAGGATTGGGATCGGATGGGAACAGGATGGGATGGGATGAGATGGGATGGGATGCAGCAGCACCGTGCGTGCAGCCCTTGTAGCACACAGAATGGGAAGCAGCACCCCATGCCTGCACCCCACACAGGACCCACAGCAGGGCTGCAGCACCCCATGCACGCACCCCACACAGCACTCACGCTGCTCCCCATGCATGCAGGGTGGAGATGCAGCACCCCACACAGCACTGACGCAGCTCCCCACGCCTGCACCCCACAGAAGACCCACAGTTGGGCTGCAGCACCCCATGCATGCACCCCACACAGCACTGACGCAGCTCCCCATGCATGCACCCCACACAGGACCCACAGCAGGGCTGCAGCACCCCATGCACGCACCCCACACAGCACTCACACTCCTCTCCATGCATTCAGGGTGGAGATGCAGCACCCCACACAGCACTCATGCTGCTCCCCATGCATGCACCCCACACAGGACGCATGGAGGAGGCGCAGCACCCCATGCCTGCACCCACACAGCACTGATGCAGCTCCCCACACCTGCACCCCACAGAAAACCCACAGCAGGGCTGCAGCACCCCACGCCTGCACCCCACACAGGACCCACACAGGGCTGCAGCACCCCATGCCTGCACCCACACAGCACTGACGCAGCCCCCCACGCCTGCACCCCACAGAAAACCCACAGCAGGGCTGCAGCACCCCATGCACGCACCTCACCCCCCCCCTCCCCCCCGATTGCTGTTCCCCCAGGACGCAGAGAAGGGCTGCTGCAGCACGGGCTGCTGCAAGGCGTGCTGCCTGCCCTGCTCGCTCTGCTGCCCCACGTGCTGCCGCCCGGGCTGCGGCTGCATGCGGAGCTGCCTGTGCTTCGTGCCGCGCCTGCTCTGCTCGCTGCCCCGCAAACTGCTGGGCTGCCACCGCCTGCGCTGCGTCCTCCTCGGCGCGCTGCTGCTCGGCCTCCTGCTGCTGCTGCTGCTCGGGGCGCTGCTGATGTGGCTGCGGGCGGAGCGGCTGCGGGACGGCGGCGTGCGTGGGGGGTGGGGGGGTGGGGGGGGATGGGGCTGGGGGGGTAATGGG